TACATAAGTGTAGAAGAAGTGAACATAAGAGGCTTGGTTGCAAGGGGATGTCCACAGGGAGGAGTGCTATCACCTCTACTGTGGAACATGGTCCTCAACACCCTCATCAGCCACCTCTATAATGACAGTCACTACACAATAGCACTTACAGATGACCTGTTCAAACAGGGAATTTGGGAACATACTCTGGGAAAGAATGCAAGTAGCTCTAAAAATTATAGAACAGTGGTCTATCAATCCTAAGAAAACAGAACTGGTCCTTTTTACAAGAAAACGGATGAAAATGGAATTAAAACCTCCAGAACTCCTAAATACAAAACTAAACTTTGCAACAGAGGTGAAGTACCTAGGTCTCACCTTTGACAGCAAGTTAACATGGAACTCACATTTAGAAAATAAAGTCAAAAGAGCATAAATTGCTTATGAACAATGCCGCCGAACCGTGGGCCGCACCTGGGGTTTCTCTCCCAGAGTCGTCGCAAGGACTTACACGGCTATCATAAGACTTATGCTAACATATGGTGCAGTTGTCTAGGTACCGAAAACCCAAAAATGAACAGCCATCCGTAAACTAGAACAAATTCAAAGTATATCTCAACATAACAGGAGCCATGAAAATAACACCGACCAGAGCCATGGAAGTCATTTTTAGTCTCACTCCCCTTAAAATTTACATCAAGGAGGTTGCTCTGATAACAATGACACGCCTCCGCACGGTTGGAATAGAACCTGATGAGCAAGCAAACATGAACTCCATCTCACTTAGATATATCTTCCATAAGCCATATAAAGTTATAACAGAACAAATAGAAGAACTGAAAGTGGTAGGTACGATTCATATTTACACCGATGGTTCTAAAACAACAGGATGTGGAATATACTCCAGATTCTTAAACCTAAATATAAAATGGGTTGTGAGCAATAGTGCCATTGTAGTTCAAGCAGAGCTAACGAGGATTCTCATAGCAAACAAAAGAAATCACCAGAAACAATATCACTGGAAGAAACATGTTGATCTATACAGATAGCAGACAAGCACTAATCACCCTGAACAGACCACGAAAGTACTCAGGGTTAGTACTAGAATGTCACGAAGCTTTGGCCAAAGTATCCATCAATAATGTGGTCACCTTAAGATAGATTTAAAGGCCACGCCACATCGAAAGGTAACCGTCTTGCTGATTCACTAGCCAAGAAAGTAGCCAACCAAATACTTTTTGGACCTGGCCCTTCTATTGGCCTGACAACATCGGTAGTGACAGACTTAATTAAAGAACATTCCCTTGTGAAATTCAAGAAAAGATGGGATGAAACAAGAAACTGCAGATTTGCCAAGGAGCTCTTAATTTATCCTAACAACACTGCAGCAAACAAATACTTGAGACTATGACTAGACAGAATCTGCGACTAGTCACAGGTAATCTGACTGGTCATTGCCAAGTAAAGAAGCATCTCCATATCATGGGACTGTCAGAATCCACACTCAGCAGAGGGTGCGAACAAGAAGATGAAACCATCGAGCATATCCTTTACGATTGCTCGACGCTCTCATTTATTAGAAGATTTATGTATGGCGAGTATCGGCTAACATCGACCGATATAAGAGAAACACCTCTTGGCGACGTTGTTAACTACATTAAATCTGAGGGCTGGCTCACGAGCTAGGAGGTACCTATCATCTTAGGAGGATGTAAAATGGGCCTAGTGAGGCCTAAGAGCCGTGGGGGTAACCCACCCCACATGTTATAGATACAGGTGTATAGATTTTTGTCATTCATGTCTTATTCTTATGAGAATATAATTCCATGTCACATGACGTTGCTTTTGACCAATCAAGTTGACTGAATTGAGTTTCAATAACAGTGTTGTATTATCGGTGTAGTAGGTACGTGGATTATCTTGACTGCAGAACAAACTTCTTTTCAATACAAATCATTATCTGCCAGTAATAACTGTTGTAATATGGTTGTCCTCATACTTATTATGTTCTCTTTCTTAATATAACATTAATATAAGATTCCAAACTCATGACAGTCTAAATCTTTGGAAAATACCTCCTGCACCACCCTCGTTGTATTTTCATCAATAATAACTGTACCACCTATTATATGAGTATTGCCCTTGATATAACCCTTGATAAGACACATGACCATATTTATGGACCATTTAACCGATTTCAAGAATGTAATTATTATTTATGTAGTACCTACATTTCACTCCAGTATATCAGTATGTAAGCAAATTTTTTAATTTCCAATTTTACGTCTCAAAAAAATCTCTTTTCAGTACTTCAAACCGAATGTATCTTATTAAAAAACAGACAACACCTCATTATCTACCTAATTCCTTATAATATTCAGGAGTTAATTGTCCTAGGACCTTTCCTCTACTCCTAATATAGTAATGACCTAACTCAGACGACATCGATATTACCACGACTACATTGATATTACCACGACTACATTCGCTGCAACTGACTATCAGATTCAAATCCTTCCAAAGTACTGCAAAATGACATGCACCATCTACAGAACTGGTAATAAAATGGAGTAAATATTATCCTTTAAAAGTATAACTAAATAACGCTCACCATCCCCAAGTCATATTTTTGAAACAAGAACCATTGAACCCGACATTGTGGATACTACAAAAGTAGGTAACAGTTTAAATAAATCCTCTATGAAACACCCAGGTAAAAATAAGACGTTGATATTCAATACAATCGTTTTATGGCTCGATTTCAGTCAGAGCAGGTAAAAATTACTCCGAACATGTAAAGGATGCTTATTGCCAAGAAAAATTATTATAGGTAAAATGCGTGAAGCCATTAAACTTAATACAGTGACAAATTAATGATATCGACACTAGCCCTTATAATGTCAAAGTGAAAATAATGATACCTACCTTTTCTTCTTTTTATTTTAAAATTGCAAAATTGAATTGTAGCTGTTTTGAGTATTTTTTGTGACAATTATCACGTGTCGAAATGATTACTTTACGCAACCAGTTGCATAATGTAAAACATTATGAAACTGGTTTCGAAATATTGGAAACATTTTTTAAACATACTCTCCAGAATATATTACATGCTTCACAAAACAAAAAATTCAACGTCCTAATACTACTATCAGCTTTCGGTCTTTCATTCCAAGTTAAATCATTTCTCGTTTTTGTTACGCTACGAGTTTACCCTTGCGGGCCTCAGTCTCGATAAGGTGGGAACCACCATTTTAGCGTCTCTCGAATTGTAATTTAGTTTTTTAATATTTGGAGTTAACAAATTATGGTTTAGCCGTATGTTTAATCTATTAAATTCTGTTTCTGCAAGTTTATATTACATTTTTCCAATTTTCTCCAGAAAATATTATAGCTGTATCATCGGCATAACACAGTACTTAGTTGCCCCTTGAAATTGATAATATCCGTGAGAGTGTTCATATGTATTATTAATAAAATTGGCCCTGAGACTGTTCCTTGTGGAACACCAGTTTCTACTATAGTGTCACAACTAAATATGTTTTTACTCTTGGGGTTCTATGTTCTATCTGATAAATAGTTTTCTATTAATTGCAGGGCTATAAATGTATAGTATTAAATGTAATGCTTTAATCTTTTAGTTTATTAAATATCCAAAAAAACTGCTAAGCATTTTGTTGAATTATAATATAATGATAATAAAGGGCGTTATTTTTTCTACATCCATAATAACAAAAATACAGTAATTAAACAATTGAAGAGTGGAAGTACCAAAGGCACTAAGTACCAAATTCACAAATATAAGATAATTAAGAAAACAAGTTTATTAAGTGTATCTTTTTTTACCACTTACGGGCCTCCTTATGTTAATTCACATAAGCTTAGAAATTATATGGCACTTAGAACCTTTGTAGATAAATTGTTGATGCCGTTTTAAGCACATATCCAGAAAATTTAGATTTTGACACTACTCTTTAATTAATTGAGATAGGGTGTAAGAAAAAAAAGCCGAAGATCAGGTGGATGTGTCATATGTTTCAAAGAAACATAGACACAACCTCTGTTTTTTAACTTATAGGCCTTAAGTGTTATCAAAAATTACAAAGATACAAAAAATTAAAGGTTTTCAAGTAAGCTCTAAAAAGAACGTCACCTATAATCACAAAGCATATCATAGGTACCTTCCAAAAATTATAAAAAATAAATCACAGCCTACTTTTCTCTTTTATTCGCAAAATTATTATTTTTTTTTATTTTCAGGCCTTATACCAGGCGATTTTGGATATAGGTAAGTTATTATTTTTATCTCAATTTATAGTTAAGCTATGTCCCAACTAATTGGAGTTTGCTTCAAAAATTAAAACCATTTTTCTAATTAGAATCTTTTATATTACTTTGCTGTCATACATAAATGTAATAAATAGGAACTAAATCAAAAACTATATAATTAAAAATTACATTGAAGACTTTGACAACACACGTAATTAAAACTAGAAAACGTCCAAAGTCTATAAGGACAAAACATTGAAATAATATGTATGATGTAGGTATTTTCAAACGGTAAATGTTTTTAAAAAAATAAATATTATATTTACTTACTATTGCCAGCTTTTTGTTTCATTTTCAAAAATTACTAGTATTAATGTTAAAGTTAAAGCTAACACAATAAGAATTCATAGTAAACTGAGAAAATAAATTCTAAATTAACTCAAATTAATTTTCAAGGTACATCCACCCTCGCATTGTAGGAAGACGCCTCCTCTGCGTCGGTATATTTTAAAAACGTTTATTAAAATTAAATTCTAATAAATCCTCACCTAATACAGTGATGAAATGTCTCTTCACAAAGGTTAAATAATATTCTATTGAACTAAAATAAACATTTACATGCTTACTCAGAGAGCGGCGAACTAAACTGTCAGATATATTTTTGGCGGCAGCCAATTTTCAAAATTCAAAATGGATAAAGTGCGTTAAAACCCAAACCAATGTCATTCCCGAGGGATAAATAATTTTCCACTTACCGATTTCGGAAAAATCATTAAACAGTGCCTTGGAACACATAAATAAACCACTACAAAACTACAAAACATTCACGAGTTATTTGTCGAAATACACAGGAAAGACTGCGATACGCCTGTTGAACGTAAACAGTAACTCAGGCCCGGACTGGAAACATTTCGTCGTGATTGTGGAGGAGCGGTAACGGTATGCGGTTCAGCACCATATAAAGATCATGCGGGAACGTGACATTTGCTCGAAATGAAATAGAAACATTGGAGTTTTTATTTTTTAATGACTTATTTGCCTGGGCACTCGAAGGTAGGGCTGGCAGGATTGGCCAACTTCGTACTTAATGAAAGACACTGCAAGCAAAATATTATAGCCGCCAATAAGGACAAATAAATGGTTATATTTAATATGTGGACATGGACAAGTTTCGTTTAAAAGTAATTTAACAGAATTTCATTTTTTTTATTTTGCTTTGTTATTGCATCTCCTTTTTTGCATTTAGTATTTGCTATGTACCTATGATTTATGTTTCGTAATTGCAGAAAAATCTTTCCAGGAACGCTACAGCAGGGGCGCATATACGGAGGGCCAATGGGCGTAATTCCCTCCAGATTTAAACTCCGGATACGCCATTGCGCTACAGCCTGATTGTAAGGGTGGGTCACATTTTTTACTGTCATGGCAGGTTGTCATTGACTTTAATTCCCTTCTTTTTCATTACATAATATTAATCATGTTTATTTACAAACATATACATGTAATATAAATAGGTATAGTAAACACAAATAATTTGTGATAATATATAGCCAAACATTACAAACTATATTAAAAAGTAAAACGATTTTTATTTACAGTGTGGGCCACCGGTAACTCCTTGGTAGCCAAAACTGGTTTCACAGCGAAATGTATATTAGAAAAAGCAATAATTTAAAAATAATTTCAATTATACAGGGTTCTCCAGGAAAGTAATACATGTCAAAGTTAGGTTTTTATTTTATATTTGAATGGCCTTTGCTTTTCTCATTATAACAATACCAACTACTATGGGATTACAGGGTATTTCAGACACTATAACCATTTTATATGAAAATCGTACTGAATGCTACAAAAAATATTCATTTAACTAATCAAAATCTAGTAAACCTTAAAGAAATCAATATAAACATACATTGATTTCCATTAACTATTTTTTTTATATAAATAGAAATTTTTATTCAATGAATCTATCCAAATATTTTAATATAAAGTTTTTATTTGCGTTATCAAAGATTTAGATTGTTTTTTATTATTTATTTTATTCAAATTATTCCAGGAATCTTTTTTTATAGTGATAATTAAATTGGTTTATTTGTAAATATCGATAGATATCTTGTGGAATGCTATTATTTATGGAGTCTTCATAAGAATCACAAAAAATATAGTAAAGATTAGTTTGACTTAAAATTTAAAAAAAAATATTAGTAGCCCGGTCACCAAATATTAATTGTGATTTATGGATCTCATATACAGTCTGTTCGCTATACTTATGCGGGTTTCGGATTAACATTGACAACCAGTTCCGATAAGCCTTTTCCCAAGAAATTAGGTAAAATTGCCCTAATGGTCAGATTTAAATTAAAATAACATTAGGGTAGGTACTAAATTTGTTACAAATATTGCAGTTGAATTGATTCTTTGCAAGTGTTGACATTGTATGTATATTGTAAATTTAGTGGAAATTTTAAAAATGTCTAGAAGTCTGTTAGATGTATATAGTCTAATTTGTAGTGTACATAAGTATTTTACGGATGATAACGAAAATGGCGGTCCTTTAAAATCGGTAATGTCTGTACAACAACGCTTATGCGATGCTCTAGGAATTAGTGAAACCAAATTAAGAGGAGTATTACAAAATCATAATAGTGAACTGCCGAAAGAAGATCACCACAAAACTCGCCCATCATTGAAAACGAAAGATATTCCAGATGAAAAGAAATTTGAAATTCATGATACTATTTATCGAATAAGGGCCAACAGGGAACATGTGACCTTAAATACAATTCTCTCGGAATTAATAGATAGAAAATTTGACGACATTGGGAGAACAAGTATATGGCAAGTGATACATAACTTGGGTTTCAAATTTCAAAAGGAGGATAACAAAGAGGCCCTTTGTGAAAGAAGTTCTGTCGTGCACAAGCGAATTAACTTTCTAAGATAATATTCTAAATTTAAAGAAGAAGAGGCCAATTTTATATATTTAGACGAAACATGGATATTTTCTAGGGGTGCAACCAACAGAATATGGCAAGATGATAACGTGAAGTCCATCAAACATACCGATGGAGAAGAGAAGCGACACATAATTTTACATGCAGGAGGGAAATCGGGTTTTATAGAAGGTGCTGATTTAATATTTTCATCTAAATCAAAATCCAGTGACTATCACGATAATATGAACACAGAAATGTTTGTAAAATGGTTGCATGAAAAACTTCTCCCAGGTTTAAGTGAGCCCAGCGTAATTATTTTAGACAATGCACCTTACCATTCTGAAGTATTAAACAAAAGTCCAACGAATTCTTGGGCTGTTGATAAAATTAAAGAATGGTTGACAAAGGAACATATACCATTTCCTCAATATATATTAAAATCAGAATTATTACGCTTGGCAAATAAACACGCAAAACCAAAAATCTTTGTTGTGGATCAGATTATTGAAAGTTACGGTCATCAAGTTTTACGTCTGCCACCGTATCATTGCCAGTTTAATCCCATTGAATATATATGGGGAATAGCAAAACAATATTATGACAACCATATTGAGCCTAATGGTTATAGTGACGACGCAGTTCGGGAAACTTGGCGAAAAGCACTTTCAACTCCAGAAGTGTGTCGGAATTGTATATCCAAGTGCGAGAAACTAATAGAAGATTGGTGGACTCGTGAAAATAAAATAAACGAAACAAGTCCAATCATAATAACAATTAATAGTGATGATGATGACGATTATGATATTTTGGATGATAATGACTAATTTTCATTTTTGTTGGCAAGTTCAATTTTTTTATTTTTTATTTGAAATTCTCTACATGGAACAAATTTTTATGTTAGAAAATATTTTGAGCTAAATAACCCTCTTATTATACATAGACCATATTTTCTGTGTGAAGTGTAATATAAAATTATTATTACGAGTAGGTTTATAATAGCCACATTAGACTCCATTAATGAACAAGTTTGATTCTGCTCTCAATTATACAAAAGATTCTCCATTATTATTTAATTAAAAAGTTGTAGATTATTTTTCATTTTCATTTAACCAGTTGATATTTCTCCAAAGAACAAGTCAAACTTTCGGGTACTTACCTGGAAATTCTCATAAAATTTTTAATCCGAAACCCGCGTAAATATAGCGAACAGACTGTAATTTTTTGTTCAGTATTAACTGTACCATATATGTTTACGGTTTGTTTTCCCTCAGAAAGTAGACCAAACGTGGTGAGCCATCTCCAATAAAGGGTATTCCTAGGAATAATTTTTATTTACTTGCAACACGGAAGGATAATAACAGGTAGATATTATTTTCGTTATTAGACATATTGAACAAAGAAATAAAAGCTAAATATGGTCACATTTGGTAAAGAAAAGAGTCTTGTACCGCCAAGAAAATGCTTCGTCCCAGAAGTCGGCAATTGTGAAATTTCTCGAATTACAGTTCCAGTTAATTGAACATGTCAGTATTCAAAAGATTTAGCTCCGTCTGATTTCTTCCTGTTTCCAAATCTCAAGAAATGTTTGGCTGAAAGGAAATAATTTGAAGGACTGAAAGGTCTTGAAACGTACTGGACTAATTGCGTTCACCAAAAAAGTTTTTTTTCCTTCCAGTTTCCAATCTTTGCTCGTAATTATTTAAACTTTATAGCACATTTTATATTTATGTCAACTTCTATATTATTTAAAAAGAAAACAAGCGAAAATATTGACATTGTGTGACCTTTCGAAGGCCTCAGACTCTGTATATATGGGTATAAAATAAAAACAACATTAACGCTAATCCTGAATTATTTTATTTCAACTTCCACCGGAACCAGCGTGGACTCAGTTAATCAAAATTCATTTCACGTATGCATTTTACTTCTACCTATCTCATCATTCACCCATTCAACGGAAGTACTTAAAAGTGTAGAATTCCACTCTGTTTATAGCATAGTTATTCGTAGTTTAAAATTTCACAATAACCCTTATGATATAGATACTAAATAAAACACGATCGATGCGGGTTCAGTGAGAAAATTATCTATTCGAAAATATTATAATTAACAGAATGTTTTCTTCGTCACTTGACCACAAAATGCAATTCACGGAAACGTGCATTAGTGCAATCTTATAGTGATTATGATTTAGTCATCGTTGTCGCTTTGATTGGTATATACGATGTCCCAACGAAAAGAGTGATCTTTAATTTTTTGAAAACGATTGTACAGAGTGAGTCACTAGTAACGCCCAGATAGCCTCTTATCAAGGTGATAACGCCTCATTTATTGTTGTTTTTCCCACGACTCTAGGTGAATTGAAACGCTTAGTAGGTACTCGTTAGTTATTAATTATTTAGTACATCGGTGATAATCAAACCAAAGCGTACAAGCAAATTTAGTTTAGACCGAAGTAATCGATTTATTTAGACAATTTTTTCCAACGTCTTCAGTTTTCCAGAAATTTTGCTTCTTTTTTCGGTCGCCCTGTATTTATAGTTTTATTTAAAAGCTCTCATAGGATCTTATTTAAAAAATAGATAGAGATAATGAAACAAAATAGATATAAAAATAAAACGTAGTTTATTATGGTGTCACGATATTTACTTAAAATGTTCAATGTTAAATGTTCAATTAAAAATTTCTTAAGCTACTTTCTTATAATTTTATATTTTTTTGCTGTTTGAAATTAACCGCTCAGCATAATTTTTAATGTAAATCTCATTTTTTTACACGTTGATGTATTCATTCCACTTTTCACCTCAGATTTAGTGTGTCCCAAACATTTTATGTAGATGAATAAAATGTCCATTAACTGTTACCCTTCAATTGTAATGATGGCCATTTAACTTTTATAAATAAAAGGCCAGCATATATAGGTTACTATACGGCCGACAGTCTGGC